GGCCCTAGGGGGGAAAGGAACGACACATAATTAATTCAACCCCCCCCCTCGCCCACACACACAACTTTTAATAGCCCTTTAGAATTACACAAAAAATAGCTGCTACTACTGCTACTATTATTGTTGTTGTCGTTGTTATTTATTTATTTATCTATCTATCATTTTTTTTTATTTAGGGTCTTTTACCATGAGTGTTTAAGGTAATGATGTAATTATACAGTGTTCTAATTGTCTCAGAGAAGTAAGGATAATTAATCCTCGGTCTACAGCAGCCCCTTTCTGTCTGTAGGTAATTACACTGCAGTTCTTATGTGTTTTATTTTATGCTTTTCCTCTTGGCTTTCCGACCCAGATGTGATTAAGCGATGCTGCCGTGAAAGTCCCTTCGATCGGCTCCAGCAGGGGGTGACGTTCAGGCTCTGGTCACAGGCTGCTTTACTCGCAAGAAAAGGCATCTGTCTGCCCCCCTCTCGGGATGCACTGTGCCTCCGCCCATCCCACTGGGGGTCAGCTCCAGACCCGCCGAGGGACCAGGATCCCTCACAAGTCCGTAGCCGGTGGACTGAACCCTTTTTTTTTTCATCTATTTCTGATTAAAAAGCTGCTCGGCAGCTTGGGAAACTCTGACAAGATTTAATTATGCGGTTGTTGGTTTTTCCTTAGGCAAAAAAATGGCACAGGATCTTTGAAGCGTCTTCCCGCATTAAGGCAAGTGGGGGCTTCAAAGCGTCTCACCAGTTTGTCGAGTTTCCCGCCTGTGTTTGCGGGGGGGTGGTTCGGGGGATTGATCCTAATGAAGGCCCCAGACGCCTTCTCCGAGACGCACATTCACCAGGGCAGAGCTCACTAGCAGACAGGGCCCATGTTGCGGTAGGAGTCCAGGTGCCACCTAGTGGTTGGAGGTTCGAAGACCGAACGTAAACACCACCGGTCGCAATTCGTCACCGCTGCGTCCGCGAGCGAGTCCTCGATTGGCGCGAGGTCGAGGTGGGGCCATCACCTGATTCCCAAGAAAGTCTTTGCTTTAGGAATCTGTGGGGGAGGGACCTCCAGAAGAAGCTCAACTTTGTTTCACATGGGGGGGGGCTGCTGAAGTATTTTTTTTATGGACTGAAAGGAACGGTTAAAGTGACAGGAAGTGCGTGCTTTGCCAAGAAGCGAAGCTGCATCGTGCCGCTTCCCCCGAACTCCTGTGCCTTCCAGTGGAGGAGGAAGTAGAGCCCACACACTGGGGGTGGAGATGAGCGCTGTAGCTTTCCAGGGGGCTCCAGTTGGGGGGTGGCATCCATTTAATGCACCCGGGTTTCGGGGTCATCATCGGCCTTCTAACCAGAGCGCCCGACTTTGATACATACCCCTGATAAAATGGGCAGCGAGAAATTACATCTATATTTCATTTCACTTTTATTTATAGCTGGCTAGATAAAGAGGAATAATTTTATCTCCATATGAGAGAAAATTGAGCAGATCTCTCCCTCTCCCCCGCCGGCCTGGCGTTGGGTGTTCCAGGCAGCCAGGGGTGTCACTCGCAGCCTGAGGAAGCGGTTTAATATGCAGCTGTGGGCTCTGCCTCTCTAAGCGACATCCCCATCTGCACTGGTCTCTCTGCTCCCCTGCTGCTCTCCACATGGAATCCACCCTACACAGTTGGGGGGGCCCTGAGCATCGGGGGGGGGACCCTACCCTGTCTTATCTCCCAATTCTCCTGCGGTGCAGCGACAGCACAGCACAGCGGCATGGCCCCTAAATTAAAAGAATAATACCCATCCCCCCCCCCCTTTGGCAAACGTTCTGTCAGAGTGTCCGGAATTTCTATCCAAGCCCCTGGTACCATGTGATCAGAATGGAGGAAGTGCTCTGTTACTGAAACAGTGCCGAGTGTGAGGGGAATACTTGAGGAGGAGGAGGAGGATCTTAGCCCCCGGGGGTCATTGTGGCGTCCGCTTGCTGCCTGCTTCCCCCCCCCCCCCCCCCCCGTCCCAAAAAAAAGAGGGGAAAAAAAAAGTTTGTTTACGTGGTGCAAGTGAAGTACAGTCCACACAAGGAAGGGAATCTCTGAGAAGCTTCCTCCTGTTCCTCAGACACCTTGTGTACACACACACACACACACGTGCCGTTTCTGGCTGATTTCTTTGCTCCTTCCCCATTCACGCATTCCTGACCGACAGTTTCAGTGACAGTTTCTCTGGCTAAACGCTTAATGACTGATGTCGCCAGTCCCGGTAAATGCCTCACGCCACATGCAGCTCTCCTTTCTGTTCCCAAGCTGTGATTATCTGCCATTATCAGCCTGACGTTCAGCTATTTATCTTAATAATTGCCGCTGACACGGGAGCGCAGTCCGCACCTCTCAAGAGGCGAATCGCACTCCACGCCGTCCGTAATTGAAATTGAAATTGGTCCGGAAAGGATGGCACCTGGCATTCTGGGAAATGTCCCGCTGCTCAGGTGATCGGCACTGACACTCTATCTGGGATTGCTGCTTCGGCCCCCTCCTCCGCACCCCCTGCCACGGACACACCACACGTAGATTAGATAGTCCCCGCGATTGGCTTCCATTAATTGTTACAAGTCCTCTGATAGGTCGGAGGATGCGGAGTTCCGGCTGTCACTAAGGGCCGCGGGCCGTGTCTGTGATGCCGGCCTGCCGTCAGGATGGTGTGGATAAACGCTGACACGCATGACTTTGCTCAGAAGTGTCTGTCAGATGAATATGAGTGTGCGTCAGCAGCCCATCGTTCCTGCCGTCCGTCACGGCCGTCACGCAGAGAGACCGTTAACCCCCTGAGCGCTGACATTGCTGAGTGAGAATGGATTATGCCCCTTTCAGCTCTGCCCCTTAACTAGTAATACACTGTAACTAATCATTTTATCGTGTATTAGTAGATAGAAGAATTCATTCGCAAGCACATTTAGAAATGTATTACCATATCTTGCCCCTGGTATTTACAAAACATCCTGTAAATCACTTGCAAATGTAAAACACCAGGTTAATAAGCAAACTCAGAAATGAATCATAATCGAGCATTTACAAGCGCTTTCTAAATGCAGGAAGAAGGGGACAGGAGTAAGGTGTCTTTATAATATATTTTTGAATTGTAGGTGAATCTTTTTATTTACTAATACTCTCCAATAGGTGTGCCTTGTTAGTACTGGCCTTTTGCCTTAAGAACTGCCCTTAATACTTTGTGGTGTAGAATCAACAAGGTACTTGAAACATTCCTCAGAGACTTTGGTCCATGTTGACGTTATAACATCGCTCAGTTGCTGCAGATTTGATGGCTGCACCTTCATGATGCAAATCTTCCGTTCCACCAAAATCACAGGTGCTAAAAGGATGCTCAGCTTGGTATTAAGGGGCCCAAAATGTGCCAAGAAAATCTCCCCCACACCATTAATGCACCACCTCCAGCCAGAATTGTTGATGAAAGACAGGATGGATCCATGCTTTCATGGTATTTATGCCAAATTCTGACTCTACCATCTGAATGTCACAGTAGAAATCAAGACTCATCTGACCAGGCAACGTTCTTCCAATCTTCCATTGCCCAGTGTTGGTGAGTCACTGCCCACTGTAGCCTCAGCGTCCTGCTCTTAGCTGACAGAAGTGGTACCTGGTGGGATCTTCTGCTGCTGTAGCCCATCTGCTTCAAGGTTTGCCATGTTCTGCATTCAGAGATGCTCTTCTGCATACCTTGGTCGAGCTACTGCTGCCTTTCTATCAGCTTGAACCGGTCTGGCCATTCTTCTCTGACCTCTGCCATCACCAAGGCATTTTCACCCGGAGACCCGCCGCTCACTGGATGTTTCTTCTTTTTCGGCCCATTCTACGTAAACCCTGGAGAAGCTTGTGTGCGTAAATCTCAGTACATCAGCAGTATCTGAAATACACTGCCCGTCCAAAAAAAAAGTCACCATTTGAATTTTTTTTAGCTTTGATTATGGCGCATATTTGTCATGGCATTGTTTCCACAAGCTTATGCAGCATCTCATCTTATATTTTCATCCAGATTTGCATTAATTTCTCACCGAGATCCTGTATTGACCAGTGAGTTGAACCTCCATAAAGCCTCCTTCAGCACATCAACAAAGACCTTCAATGAGCTTAAGGTCACAACTCTGTGGTGACCAAGTCATGCGTGAAAATGATTCCTCGTGCTCCCTGAACCACTCTTTGACAATTCGAACCCAATATATCTTGGCATTCTTGCCCAGGAATATGCACACGCCAACAGGGAAGAAAAAATCCATTGATGATGGATGGAGGTATAACCTGGCCATTCAGTAGATTCAGGTGCTCAGCTGACTTTACTTTATTGCTGCGTAACGTTGCAGGACTGTAGTAATGATCTAGTCATTGGCTTTTAAGTATTTGCTGATATAAATTCAAATGGCGACTTTTTTTTTGGACAGTGTACTTATCCCAGCCCATCTGGCACATCAAACTTGCCACGTTCACAGTCACTTACATCACCTTTCTTCCCCATTCTGGTGTTTGATGTGAACATTAACTGAAGCTCCTGACCTGTATCTGCATGATTTCATACATCATGCTGCTGACACATGGCTGGCTGATTAGATATTTGCTTCAACATGCAGGTGAACAGGTGTACCTAATAAAGTGGCCAGTGAGTGTATATTACCCAAATGATTGGTAGCAATTTATTAATAGCTAAGGAGCAGCCCTTAAACTGAAGAGGCAGGGGTATCAGACTGTTGCTGGAACTGGGCTTTGGACCAGCAGAATTCTGTTTCTCGTACAGTAAGACATGCCCAGCCTAATTTATCCAGCTGTTTCCATGGATAAACCTCAAATCGCCCAGCTGTTCAAACTGACAAGCTGCTCGGCGGCAGACGGGATGCATAAAGACGAAACTCTAACGGTGTATCAACCCCCCCCTGTATCCTTACCTCCCTCCGCAATGCTGCTGATGCAGGCAAAAAAATCCTTTAACATATCTGCCTCTCTCTCCCTCTCTCCCTCTCGCTCTGTCCCGCAGCGGCGTGGGCAGGAACTGGCCCTGGGCCTCAGGCGGAAGCAGCATCCTGGCCGAATACGGGACGCTACACCTGGAGTTCATGCACCTCAGCCGTCTGTCGGGGAACCCCGTGTTTGCAGAGAAGGTGAGCCGAGCCGGGCCTCCCCCTCCCCTCGGGTAATCCCCCCCCCCCCCCCCCGGCGCCCATGCTGACCCAGATGCCTCTATCCTCTGTCCTCCAGGTCATGAACATCCGCAAGGTGCTGAACAGGCTGGACAAGCCCCAAGGCCTCTATCCCAACTACCTGAACCCCAACAGCGGCCAGTGGGGGCAGCGTAAGTCTCCCCTCCTCTGCTCATGACATTAAGGCTCGCCGGCTCCCCCTGCCTTTCAGCGTGTGACGCTGCAGCATCCCCGCTAGCCGTCCTCAGGGTGATTCATGGACCGCTTTCATCACTAATCTCATGATGTGTGTTGGAGCCACAACCCTCAGCTGGAGGGAAGGGTGCTCGTACTGGGGGGGTTTTCCTCGAATAATGAGGCTTAAGCTCATTTCCTCTGTGGACCTGAAGCTGCAGGAAAGCCGCGTCATCAGCCTGAGCACAGGCAGAATCACACCCTGACGCACGTCCCCAGTCTGGCAGCGGCCTTGGGGGGGGGGGAACCAGAGGGTGGTCCTGCTTACGTGCCATACGTGTGTAAACACACAGTCGTGCTCACGGTGAAACTCGTGGCTAGAGTGAGCATGTTGTGCAGGGGGTAGGAGGTTTGCACCCCCCTATATGAAAATTCAGTGAGATGTAACGGGGACGGAGAGTGGGTCTCAATTCCTGAAATTGGGCTGCATATAGCATAGCAACAGCCTCTAAGTTCGGTGAGCTCTGCAAGGTCAGCAGCACCAGCGCCCCGGAGTGCGTGTCACAAGCGGTCGGCCCGGAGGCGTGAACTCGCCGTGTTTTGGATGGTGGCTGCTTGTGTGGGTATCTTGCCAGAACCCGCTGTGCTTAACGGGGATTTGCTTCAGGCTGGGAACACGGAATAGACTCCGCTGGAAGGCCACAAACAGAGATGGCCCCCGTTTCAAAGGGGCAGGCAGTCCGTCCTGGACAGCCGACGCTTCTAAGAGTCCTTCACAGAGGACAGAGTCCCTGCCCCCCTCCCCCCCATCCCAGATATGTCCTCTCAGATTTGGGTCATTGAGCATGTTCAAACAATCAGACTGAATTGTTGTCCACGCCACCCTTGTTGTGGGAACATAATCTAGTTCTGCTAGAACATTGGGGATATGATCTGTATGCCGTGGGGGGGGGGTGCTTTAAATAATTTAGAGGATTCCCTCCTGAAGACACACAGCAGTAAGGATGCGATCCTCACTCCACCCGGCGCACATCTGAGTCGCAGGCATGGGGTTCGCCTGAGTTCAGCATGATCTTCCCGATCCACAGGAAAAGCCTCGGCGCAGGCTTTTGTGAATCCTCACATCCCGAAATATATTGCTTTCTGGCAGCCTGATGCATACATCTCCGGAGGTTTTCCGTGGGCTCGGTCGCTCCGAGGAAGGTTATAAATGTCAGGCGTGCTTCAGAGCTGGCAAACAGCTGAGCCAACAGATCGAATTGTCTCGAAGGCTGCTATCGGCCCCCAGCACAGCACCGGCCTCGATTGTTATTTATTCCTTATGTGTCTTTATTTTTTTTTAATTGTTACTGAGGGGTGTGGCCATACGGAGGCTGGAGCCCTCAAACGCTGGGGCTTGGGTCAGCTGGGTGCTGTCGGAACCCGAAAGGGCGTTTAGGCTCCTCGAGGTCTCGGCTGCCAGCGAGCCGCTCAGATACGCCACCAAAGCGGCGGCGGTGTCACCCCTCCCCGCGGACATCTTCAGCGTGTCACCTGTCAGAGGCTGTAATCCCATTAGTCAGGAGCCTCGGTCACGACGCCATGTTTGTCACTGTGGGAACCCAGAATGTCTAAACAGGTATTTGTTTAGTATGTGGGGGGGGGGCAGCGTGTAAACACATTTGCCAGGGGGTGTTATGACGGCCGCCAGCGGGGCCGTGCATCACGCTGTCATGGGGGAGCCGGTCCGCGAGGCACGTAAATTACCCGCATATCGGCGTGACGATGTTCCATCTTCCAGATCACGTGTCCGTGGGCGGCCTGGGGGACAGTTTCTATGAGTACCTGCTGAAGGCCTGGCTCATGTCTGACAAGACGGACGAGGAGGGCAGGAAGCTCTATTATGACGCTCTGCAGGTAAACGCAAAGTTTATTATTTACCCCCTACGCCCCTCGTGTACAAATGTATCTCTGTGTGCAATAGACCAGGCTGCGGAGGAGATAACGCCCCCCCCCCCCCCAAAGAGCGGCTCGGATAAATCGGTTTCCCCGAGAAGCTGGGTACCATTCAGCGTGCTGAACATTCACTGTCAGCACGTTGCTTATGCTCCCGAAATACAGCCAAATAG